GGGATATCAAATCCAATCCAAACATAGGTGGCAATGTTAAATTAATTATGGCCACTAGAGGGCACGATATGCCTGTGCCACAGCGTGTTGAACTTCCATCAGAAATCCTAGTGATTGCAGGGCAGAGATTGTGGGCAAGAGTTAATCCGGAGGCCCTGAAGAAGGCAGAGGCATTCATCCGCCAGCAACCTGGTGCCCCTCCAGATCTGGACTACAGAGCCAGCATGGCGTAATGGTTAAGGGCGTTGGACTAGGATCTGGGAGACAAGGGTTCCAATCCACCACTTGGCCATGAAGCCTCCTGGGTGTGGCCTTGTCACTGTACCTCAGCCGAACCTACCTCAGGGTTGTTTTAGGAGGGGGAAGAACCATGCACATGTCACCTTGAGCTTCTTGGAGAACAAAGTGGGAGGTACGATTCTATAAACAGAATGCAGAATGAGGAAGGTGGCTGCACTCTCACACATTGTAACTCGCTCTACGTGGGGCTGCCCTTGAGACTGACCCAGAAACTCCAGCGGGTGCAGAATGCTGCGGCAAGACTCCTTACGGGGTCCTTGCCGTGGGATCACATTCACCCAGTGCTTTTCCAGCTGCACTGGCTCCCGGTGGAGTATAGAGTCAGGTTTAAGGTGCTGGTTTTAACCTTTAAAGCCCTATGCGGCCTAGGACCCTCGTATTACAGGACCGCCTCTCCTGGTATTCCCCATGGAGGACCTTTCAGTCCGCAAATAATATATTGGAGGTCCTGGGCCACAGGGAGGTTAGGCTGGCCTCAACCTGAGCCAGGGCCTTTTCGGCTGTGGCCCCGATCTGGTGGAACGCTCTGTCACAAGAGACCAGGGTCCTGCGGGATCTGACATCTTTCCGCAGGGCCTGCAAGACAGAGCTGTTCCACCAGGCCTTTGGCCAAGGCACAGTCTGACCCCCCCTCCTTCTGTAATCTTCATAGAACTAGCCCAATCGTTGCCACTAATTTGATTCTGAATTGATTTTAGAATGTATTTTAATTAATTGTGATTTTATGCAAACTGTGTTATTTTTACTGTTGTTAGCCGCTCTGAGCCTGGCTTCAGCTGGGGAGGGCGGGATATAAATAATAATAATAATAATAATAATAATTTTCTAGATGCTAGAGAGAGAAAAATGTACCAAATCAAGGAAGGCTTGCTTTTTTGAAGTGTACTTATCTTTGACTTGCACCATTTTCTAAAAGAAGACTTTTTAAAGCCCCCCAGCACCGCTGAACCTATTGCATGAGGCTGGATTAATGTATTTTCAGTATCCCTCCTAGAATATTCTTCATGAAATCATTTTTTTAAAAGTGTTTTGAGCTGACGTTCAGCCTCTGGAACAGGTTTTTGGGAACCAGACCCGAGACTCTTCTGTCCGTACAATCATGTAGCTCTGTTCTGGTTTAGTGGCATAGGGTCTGGGGGACCAGGATTCAAATCTCGCCTCGGGCATGTAGCCCACTTGGTTGACCTTGAGGGCCAGTCACTGCCTTTCATCACAGCGTTGTCGTGAAGATTAATTGAGGGGGGAGAACCATGTCTGCCACCTTGAGCTCCCTGAAGGGAAAAGGTAGGGCATATATGTAATAAATAAAAAAATAGGGGAGATGAAGAAACACTCCAACTGGATTTTATGATGGGGGAGTGTGCACTGGATGAATGACAGAACATGGGTTTTGTTTTGTTTTTTGAGAAATTAATGCATCAGGAACCAAAATGACCCCCCTTCTACCCCCACAAGAGAGAAAACTTAAATATGTCAATGGCTTTGTTAAGCTGAAGAATCCGTCTGTGTGAAATAGGTGGAAAACAGGCAAAAACCACCTCTCCCCCACCCTCGCCGCACCAGAAAGAACACGCTGACAAACTGTAAGGAGAAAGAAATCTGTAATTATACTCATGGTCCCAACAACATTGAACTCTTTACACAATAAATTCAAACTTTCTCTCTCTCTCGAAGTCTTCAACAACAATTTACAGGATAACACTTGGAATTAAAATGAACCCTCCACTCCTCTGCTCTCAAGAAGGCTTTAAATTATGACACAATTTCTGTCCCCCCACCCACAGAAAAGCCCCTGACTCAAACCTCTGGCCCAACATTTTGGCTCTGGCAAGAAAACTGTGGCAGAACATTCAAGCTGGCGGCTCCGGCACTCTGCACATGCTTCTGCAACCTCCCCTGCAGGTTGTTCCAGAGATTTTTATTTCAAGTGAAGCTTGGCTGTTTGAATGAAGCGAGGATTCCAGTGTGGACTGGGAAATGTAAGCTGTAAAGAACAAACGTTTTGTGGGGAGGAGACTATAAGATACATCCTACATTAGTCTTTCTTAACCTGGTAGCCTCCAGATGTCCTGGACTACAGCTCCCAGGTTGCAAAAGAGAGTCCTGCATTTTGCAAAAATCCTGATTATTTCAAACAGGTGGCTTGTTTGTTTTTAACCACTGGGTTTCCATCCTCTGTCTGTGCTAATTGGAAATAGCTTTGAGAGAATGTGGTTTTTGGATCAGAGGCTCCTATAGATGATAAAAAAAAAAGCAAGATATGGACACTTTCCTCTCCTCCCACCTCGTTGAGGTGCGTGCGTGTCAGCTGTTTAGTTTCCCACTATGCAACACTGTAATAAAAGAAATCAGCACCATCAGTGGAACTTCAGCCTGCCTTGCAGCAGATTCTCACTCAGCACATTGCACATGGCCAGAAATATCCAAGAATGGAACACACATGTGTTCCCATCAATTGTTAAGGGCACACACAAACACATGAAAAGCGACATTTCCCTTCCAAACACACGGAACCGGCCAACTGAAGCCGTTCTGCATGTGCAGTGACTTGCCTGGGTGCTCACTCGTCATGCCTTGATTTTTGAGTACATCTCCCTGCAGGAGGGACGCGGGTGGCCCTGTGGGTTAAACCACAGAGCCTAGGGCTTGCCGATCAGAAGGTCGGCGGTTCGAATCCCCGCGACGGGGTGAGCTCCCGTTGCTCAGTCCCTGCTCCTGCCAACCTAGCAGTTTGAAAGCAAACCAGTGCAAGTAGATAAATAGGTACTGCTCCGGCGGGAAGGTAAGCGACGTTTCCGTGTGCTGCTCTGGTTTGCCAGAAGCGGCTTAGTCATGCTGGCCACATGACCCGGAAGCTGTACGCCGGCTCCCTCGGCCAATAAAGCGAGATGAGCGCCGCAACCCCAGAGTCAGCCACGACTGGACCTAATGGTCAGGGGTCCCTTTACCTTTACCTGCAGGAGACAGGATTCTCACCCTGCTGAATACTCAACTGGCTAAACAGCTGTGCCTTTTTGAAAGCAGCTTGATCAGCACATGCGTTGACAAGCAAGTGTTAAAATCTCTGTGCTGCCAAGATTTCTGAATGTGTGAAAAAAATGTACACAAGAGCATTCCCACCCTCCAACACATGCAGAAATCTTGGCAGCACAGAGATTTTTTAACTCTAATTGCCCTTTGAACTTGCCCCTTGAGGACTTGTTTAGTGGTAGTTGACAGGCAACGGCCACAATTTCCAGTGGTGCCCTGCTCTGGTGACCACCCTAGGCTACTTGGCCTCTGCGGGGCCTGTTCTACCTGTGCAGAGGGTTGCTAGGCAACCCAGACATGGATGGCCATTGTCTTTCTCTTCCTCTTTCTCTCTCCCCTGAATTGCTACCAACAATACATCCCTTCACCCCAAATCAACCTTCTAAACACATTCCTAACCTGCCTCATTTAACTGTGCATTGGCCCCCAAAGGAGGTACACTACATACCCCTCCCCTCTGGGTCCCCCCCCCGGCTATGGGACACACCTTTTAAAGGCACCCTGGGATAAAAGCCCACAAGGCGCTCCATCCACATCACCAATTCCTTTCCTTTTCAGATCCCTTTCGAAATACGGCTCCTCTGCTTGTGTGAACCAACCTGCAAGGCCCTCGTGCAAAGCAGTGAGAACCACAAACTAGGGGTGCCTTTGTTCACTAGTGGGTGGCAGCTCTGAGGGTCCTGAAAGTTTGGGGGTGGCGGGAAAATGCCCCTGACGTGGTGAAAGCCGCCTCCCCACCACCACCAGTTGAGCTTGCTTGGCTGACGTGCTTCACACTCGCTCCCGCGACACATGCTCACCTGGGGCAGCCTTCAGTGGCTGATCCATCTAATGGCGCCCCTGAGCCTTCAGGCCTCCCGACTCCTCCTGAGCCCACCTCTTGCAACTGGCTTGCTGACCAGTTCTCCTGACTGCATACCCACCTGGCCCCAAATTTAACTCTCCCTCCTCTCAAATTCATTCTTTCAGCAACCTGCTCCTGGTCCTCCTCCACTCTCGCTCGCTCCGTCACCAAACATTACAGTTTCCATCCTCTCTTGCATGGCTGGTGAGCTTTGTTTCTGAAACAAAAACAACCCATTTCCACCCTTCTGAGCATCCACTGAGGGGAGGAGACAGCTGTGCCCCCTCCTCTGAATGACCCATAACCCCCAATTTCCAGCTTTCGCTTCAAAAGAAAGACTAGATTTGCAGCATTCACAGAACCTGATGGATGAGGTAAAATGTACAGGCAAGGGCCTTCTCTATTTTTCTCTTTTGGAGAAACCAGCCTGGTCCCCAATTCCAGTGTTTTACTTTGCACAGATGGCCTGGGGGGGGGGAATCTCCTTCAACGCCCCTGTGAGCGTGCAATATGAAGCGTGGCAGAACAAGTTGCCAACAGTGAGACCCTCTGGGGATGGGTCTACCCGGAGTAAAACTTTGTTGTCCACCACTCAGGCATGCCCTGGAATTTGCTTTCTGCACTCTCTCACTCTTGTGCCTCCAACTCAGAACAAAACTGTTTGGATTTCACCAATTTTAATAATAATTTATTATTTACACCCCACCCATCTGGCTGGGTTTCCCCAGACACTCTGGGCGGCTCCCAACCAAATTAATAATAATAATAATAATAATAATAATAAAGTAATAAAACATCAGACATTAAAAACTTCCCTAAACAGGGCTGCCTTCAGGTGTCTTCTAAAAGTCAGATAGCTGTTTATTTCCTTGACATCTGATGGGAGGGCATTCCGCAGGGTGGGTGCCACTACTGAGAAGGAATAGGAAAACAGAAATGATAATAACTACCTCAGGATCTAGGAAACACCAATATGCTTAATTTCTCCAGCCTCAGAATAAAATAAAACCGAAAGGAGCATCTGTGCCACTAAACTCCTGCTGAAGGAAGGGATGGTCTGCAGGTGGGGGAAATTGGGGGGGGGGAATCTGAAGGGTGGCTCTCCTTCATTCAGGTGCAAACTTCCTGCACCTTCAACATCCCCCCCCCGAGGTTAGAGGTAAGGTCTTTGGAAGGCACCACCACAGCCCCTCTCTGGCCTAACAGCCGACGCCTGGTCTGGAAATGGCAGCCAAGATGCCCTTGCACTGGTTCCTACAGGGGCGTCCAAGATGGGGCTTCTTGACCCTCTCGACCAGGAAGGGGGCTGGGCTTCTACTATCAAGTGACTTCAAAATACTGTACTAATATCACCTGTGTGCAACCCTCTCATTCCAGGGGAGACTTCTGGAAGTGACCATTGGGATGACCACCACCCACCCTGCTCAGGTGCTAACCTTGCCTCACAATGCTGAATGCTACAGGCCACCCACGACCTCCCTCTCCCTACCTCTTTTGCCCCCCAAAAACTGCAAGCAGCTTTTCTTGGCTGGGGGGACAATCTGTGGCACACAGTCTAGATTTCAGCCAGTCGTGCTGAGCTCTTTCCCTGGGGCACAGAGACTGAGGACCTTGCACCTGGTTGTTTACTGGTGCTTGTACCCTGGGTGACACGAGGTCCTTAGGTGTTCCTCCATGCCAGGTCAGCCAGTTTGTCAAGGCTTCTGGTCATTTCCTGGTGTCTGTTGAGGACCTCTGCTTGTGTGGAAGACAAAGGCAGGAGACCCTCCCAGCTCGCTTCTTTTGGAGACCACGCGGCTTCTGGCTCAAAGTCTCCCACTTTTGCTCTTACGGAACTGCCAGCCTCCACTGGTGGCCATTTCAGAGACTCCCCTCTGGCGCCGCAGCACCCTACAAGCCACCTCTAACCCCCCAATCTGTGCCTGGCAACCAGTGCAAGCTAATAGCCTGCTCCCCAAGTGCATGGTTTATGCACGGGCAACGCAGGCCCCTGATGTGTCCAGCTCGTCCTCCGAAAGACTGATGCGCAAACAGGTTTCATTGCCGGCCGAGGAGAGGAAAGGACGCCGGAGAGACAAGCTGCCATCCAGATCCCTAGAGGGGCCTTTCTCGGGTCGTCCCAAGGCCCCTTTTGCCAGGGATGCCTGTCCACCCTCCCCAGCCCGCTCCTGGCTTAGGGCCACCTGGTTTTCGGCACGGCCGCAAGTGTGACCTCTTCCCAGCGTCCTGGGCTCAGACTCCAAGCTGGCCAGGGAGAAGATGGTGATGCTGGTGAGTGTGGAGGTGCTGTGGCCGGACCCAGAGGTGGTGGTGCTGGTGGTTGCTGCTGTGGCGTCCGTCTCTGCTTCTAGGCTGGGCGAGGTGGTTTTGCTTGACCTCCTCCTCAGGGTTGGAGGGGGTGGGTTCAGCTTGGGGATGAGGGGCTGCAACCTGTCAAACAGAGAAGGGATGGGTGGCTTTGGGTGGCTTTCAAAGGCTTCTCGTGACTTTGCACACTGCCCTGATGTTCGGCAGAGAAGTACTTCTACAAATAAATAACTCTATGTTGTGAACGACCCTGTGATCTTCGGATAAAGGGCATTGTACAAACTTAATAAGGAATAAAATAGAATAAAAATAATATATACCGTATTTTTCCGTGTATAAGATGACCCCATGTATAAGACGCCCCCTTTTGGGGAGGCCTCCAAATTAAGAAAGCACCCCCTCAACACTACCTGTGTATAAGACGAGCCCCAATTTTAAACCTAATTTTTTGGTAAAAAAAAAACCCTACATGGAAAAATATGGTATATTTTTTTGTATTCCCTATTCATTTAAAAAATATAGATATATCAGAGCAGTTCACAACAACTATAGATAAAATCATACAATAAAAACCATGTAAGAATGCTAAGATCAGAAATCAGCCAACTACTGTGGAACGAGGAACGATGTATTCTTAATTACCTGCACAGGCCAAGTTTTCAGCAGGCATTTAAAAGTTGAAACAGAAAGCGCTTGCTGAATCTCTAGTGGCAGAGTGTTCCACAGGGCTGGGCTGATGGACACCAAAGGCTCGGTTTCTTGTTGTCAAGTTAGCCTCACCAACCGAGGTAACGACCAACGATGCTCCTGCTGATGATCTGAGTGATCAAGCTGGGATATAAGGGTCTTAGGTACCCTGGACCCAAGTTGTCCAGGGCTTTGTAAATTAATACAAGGGCCTTGACCCTGACCCAGTAGCAGATGGGCAGCCAGTGCAGATGCCTCAACAAGGGGGCCACACATTGTCGGCCAGGTGACCCCACCAGCAATCTGGCCGCCGCACTCTGCAGTCGCTGGAGCTTCAGAACCAGACCCAAGGGCAGCCCCACGCAGAGCGCAGTGCAGCAGTGCAGCCTCGAGGTTCTTTTAAATTGGAGGTGCTGCCCAGGAATTGACCCAGGGACATTCTGCATGCAAAGCAGCTGTTCCACCCTTGAGTAGCAGCCCCTTCCATGGGTTGCCTGTAGTGAGATTTGAGTAGCAGCCCCCACAACTTTGCAATTCTAGCAAACAGTAAGTTGGGTGCTACCTTGGGGCAGCACACCTCTCCCACAGCTAGCCAGGTTTTGCATTCTCCATTACTAAACCGGCATACAGTATAATCGCTTCCTGCGTGCAACTAACTTGCACAACTTTAACCTTGCATGGTTGAAAGCCCCCAGTCGAAACTGCACAAATTAACTGCACACAAGGCAGAGAGCTTTAAAACTCTTTTTGCATTCTTTCCCCCGGTGTGGAAAGAGATTTTAAGCAAGATCTCACAAGAGCACCCAGAGCCTGTGAACTGAACAGGACTTGACCGGTAAGCAAGGCGGAGAGCATAATTGTGCAAGATGTGACCGTCCTGTGTTGAGAAAGGGGGTTTTCGAGGCTGGTATGTGTCCTCAAATCGGGATGGTGCCTCTCACCTGCCTGGATAGGTAGAGAGATGGGACAGGTGGGAGCATAGGAATCTCTGGCTGTGGTGAAGCTGCATTTATAGGGTTCTCTGTAAAGGGGTCAGCCACATCCATGGCTCCACCCACTTCGGCCTCTGGCCATGTGGGCCCTTGAAAGCTGCTCAGGAGGAAACATGGCCCTTGGGCTGAGAAAAGTCCCCCCCCCCCGCCAGCCATCTGTGAGCAAAACAGCTGACCACATACAGGTGAAACTCAAAAAATTAGAATATCATGGAAAAGTTCCTTGATTTCTGGTATTCAACTTAAAAGGTTAAACTCATATATGAGATAGACTCGTGACATGCAAAGCGAGATATGTCAAGCCTTGATTTGTTATCATTGCGATGATCCTGGCGTACAGCTGATGAAAACCCCAAATTAACCATCTCAGAAAATTGGAATATTCAAGGAAATCAGCAAAACAAGGATTGCAAATCGAGCAAGATTGGACCTCTGAGAAGTAGAAGCAGATCTCGCTTTGCATGTCATGAGTTGATCTCATATATGAGTTTCACCTTTCAAGTTGAATTAGTGAAAGAAATGAGCTTTTCCATGATATTCTAATTTTTCGAGTTTCACTTGTAGGTGACCTTGGAGATACCTCCAGTTCTGATTCTATGAGAGCAGACCAATGGGTGTGACAGAACAGCTGCAAAACTGCAAAAATCTGCATGTATGGCAGCCCACCCCCCTTTCCCACCACACAGTGCTAAGAACCAAGCTGTGCGATTTGCCTTGCATGGGCCCAGACGTGGGTTGATCATGAGCACCACTACGCCAAGACTTCCCTACCTCTCCTCCTGTGCTGGAGTGCCCAGGTTGCTGCTCTTCTGCCGGCCGGTTCTTCCCAGCACCGCACAGTCTGCGGCCTCAGAACCCTCCACGCTGCGAAGGCCGTCTGGCCCCTCCAGGACTGCCAGGTGCTCCTCGCTCTCTGCCCAGTGGCTCAGCTGGCTTCCCTTCTCCAGGTTGGACAGATTCAGGTAAGACTCGCAAGCGCTGCCCATCTGTGCCACAGGGCTGCCCAGGACGCTGGCCGGTGTCGAGGTGGATGGCAGGTTGATTTCAAGGCTGTAGTGGTTCTTCAAGTTGAGGGAGAGCGACTGAGCCAGCGTCAGGTTCTGCAGCGAACGGTCAACTAAAAGCAAGGGGGGGGGGAATGGTAGATAGGTAATAACACAAGGATGGAGTGTCCGTGCCTGATGTCTGAGACCAAAGGCTTCCCACAGAGGCTCATGGGAAGCCCCCAAGCTGTGGGTGCAGGCCAATAGCCCTCCCTGGCCCTGTTTTATGCCCCCAGTATCTGGTATTCGAAGGGACCCGGGTGGCACTGTGGGTTAAACCACAGAGCCTAGGTCTTGCAGATCAGAAGGTCGCCGGTTCGAATCCCCGCGACGGGGTGAGCTCCCGTTGCTCGGTCCCTGCTCCTGCCAACCTAGCAGTTCGAAAGCACGTCAAAGTGCAAGTAGATCAATAGGTACCGCTCCGGCGGGAAGGTAAACGGTGTTTCTGTGCACTGCTCTGGTTCGCCAGAAGCAGCTTAGTCCTGCTGGCCACATGACCCGGAATCTGTACGCCAGCTTCCTAGGCCAGTAAAGCGAGATGAGCACCGACGACTGGACCTAATGGTCAGGGGTCCCTTTACCTTTATCTGGTATTCCGTGGCAGACTGTCTCTGCGCCTGGAGGCTCCATCTATTCATCAGGATAAAGGTAAAGGGTAAGGGGACCCTTGACCATTAGGTCCAGTCGTGACCGACTCTGGGGTTGTGGCGCTCATCTCGCTTTACTGGCCAAGGGAGCCGGCATACAGCTTCCAGGAACTCCTGTACACCTCACCTGTACAGCTCACCCCGTAGTGGGGATTCGAACCGCTGACCTTCTGATCAGCAAGTCCTAGGCTCTGTGGTTTAACCCACAGCGCCACCCACGTCCCATCCATCAGGATATAAAGCCATTTATTTGATAGACCTCGCAAAGCCACACCAGCCACTGAGCACATCCGTTGTTCTAATTCTGCACTGCATTGCAGTAGTGCTGTGGCAAATTCAGAAGCTCAGGGTCCCTTCATGGCAGTTGCAGCCATGCCCTGCACAGCCACCCTCTTTCTCAGACTATACAACTTTCTAAGGTTGTACAACCATTTTATAGTAATTATACAATGGCAATAATTGGGTACCTTCTGGTGTTTCATGCAAACTTACTTTACAAACCGTTTTAATTTTACTGAGCCTAACCTACCTGGCAGGGTTGTTAGGAGGATAATGCAGAGAGAGGGAAGATCAGGTGCATCACTGGGCACCAGAGAGAGGCCCTTGAGTGACCCTCCATGGAGACATGCCCCCTCCAGCCTACTCCGGTCACTCACCTGGATGTCGTAGGTGCACCTTGATCTCTAGTTCCTTGAGCTGCCTCACTAGCAAGGAGACGTGCTGGAGGAGATCGCGGTTGGTCATCAGGAGCTGCCGGACACGGACCTGAGCTTCAACCCGGGCTGTGGTTTCGGCTGACAGCTGGTCTTTCAGTAGCTGCACCTGCCGGGAGGTGGGGTGGGGACACGATGAGAGGGTCTCATGAGCTGAGAGGGCTGAGTGAAGCCACCAGGGGCCCTGCTGGATCAGGCCAATGCATCCTTTGAGCCCGACTCTCTGCTTCTAATGGTGGTCAGCTAGAGCTGCCACTGGGCAACCCATACGCTGGCAGACGACATCCATTCTCTGCTGCTTTGGCCTCCAGTTCAGAGAAACTCTGAACACAGAGTTCCCAACTAGGCATTGTGGCAGCTATCAATACAGTTCTCCTCCACAGTGGATTTGTCAGAGGCACGTTGGTTTTGGTTTCCTTTCCTTTTCGAGCCATCTATCATATTTATCCCCTTTATTATATTATAAATATATGCATATATGCATACTCTCTCACACACAAGCACTTACATGCTGTTGCAAGCTTCTAAAACCCATTCTTCTGCACTGCTTTTATTCCACTGAGAGCTTAATTACTTTTTAACTATTTGCATTTTGCATGGTTTTAGCTTTTTACCTGAATTGCTTTAATTTGTGTGAGTCACCTGGCGAAAAGCCAGGATGTAAAACAACAACAACATCCTATATGGGGCAATTTAGGGCAAGTTAGTGGCTCTCCCTCTCTCACACACACATACCCCACAGTAATGCAGAAGAGGATTGGGGAATGAGGTGGGCGGTGACCTGCTGAAAACTGCGTCAAAGAAAGTGCAGTCAGGTGGTTGCCAGACAGGTAGGGGCATAGTTACCTGAGCTGCAGCCACCTGCGTCTGCTGCTGCTGCTGGAGGAGCTGGTGCTGGAGGAGCTGGAGGCAGTGCTGGGAGGCCAGCGGGGTCACGGAGGCGGAGGAGCTGGGGCTTGCAGGACTGCCCAGCGGCTGTGCGGTGGAAGGGCGGAGCGACCCGGTCTCATTTTCCTGGAATCCAGCATGCGGCGAAAAGGAGGGGACAATCAGGAACCCCCTCCACACCTTCCCTTCTACAACACATATTCGTGCCACACAAAGAGAACTGCTGGCTGCCCAAGCGATTTGCAGCTCCTACACATATTTCTTGCAGAATGTCATGACGCGAGGCCTTTTTAAAAAATACTTTGTTCTCTCTCCCTGGAGTAGTTCTGCTGATTATTGTGAACGGTTGTCAAAAGATTAGATAAAAAGTGCTGAACAAAGGAAGAGGAGTGTACTCGAGTGTAGGACGAGCTCCTGACAACCAGCACTCCTGTTTCGGTAGTAGTCATTACCCAAGACAACAAATTATTCCTGATTTTTGTGAATTTATGCAATTATTGTTTGCACAAAATGGATTGTTTATTTATGTAGCTTGTATACAGCCCTTCTTCCAAGGATCTCAGGACAGCTCGCAGCAAAAAAATCACAAGATAAAAATATGAAATACATAATAAGAATAAGAACGAAACAGACCAATGACCCCACCCCCTCCCCCATTTAAAAGGACATGGAATGTTAATCAGCCCAAGAGGGACATTTCACCTGGCGCCTAAAGGTGTATAATGAAGGCACCAGGTGAGTCTCCCTAGGGAGAGCATTCCACAAATGGGGAACCCCTTGCTGACAATAAGAACATAATGTGCTTATTGTTACAGTTTGAACTTCTATGAACAAATGAAAGAAAAAAAAACCCCCACCTTGTATAGATTTTAAAAATAAAATCCCATCTCTGCTCTAGGTTTGGCCCCTAGCCCCAAATGTTTGTAGAGGTGGAGGGCAGGAGTGGTGCCCCCACGTCTGGCTTCTGTCTCACTGAGAAAGTGTGGGCCTAGGGGCTAATCATCTTGACTTCACAGACACCTTAAATCAGTGCTCCCCAAACATTTTGGGACCACCCCTCCCTTGGTTCCATAAACTCATCCCTAGTACACCCAATGCTGTAGCTAAGAGGGGGAAAGGCTAGATGGGTTTTTGCCCCAGGTGAAGCCCCCAGAGGGGTGCCACTGAAGCTCCCAGCCTCAGTATGTGTGTACGCAACTGTGCATTGGTGTGTGTATGCCAAACGGGGGTCTTTGGCCTGGGTGAAATAAAGCCTAGTTTCACCCCTGCCAGGACTGCATTACCCTACAAATAGCATTATTCAGAGTAGCAGTTTGCACGGCCCACTAAGGACGACAGCAACACTATAAAACTCATAACAGTAGCAATCGCACATTTATCCAAAATCCAACTGAACCTATTTACAGTGGTACCTCTAGTTGTGGACACGAACCGTTCCGGGGTGCCGTTCGCACCCCAAAAAGTCCGCAACTAGACCGGCACTTTTGCGCAAGCGCGGAGTGAGATAGAGCGCTTCTGCGCATGTGCGAAGCACACAAAATGCTTCTGTGCATGCGCAAAGAGCGCAGAACACTTCTGTGCATGCGTAGTTTCTTCAGTAGTCTAATCTCAAAGTCTCTTAAGCTTAAGCCAGTCTTATTCTCTACAAGATTGAATATCAATATACGTATCAAGACTTTGAGATTAGACCACTGAAGAAGCCTGGAAAACTACCTTGAGAGTGTGCTACCTGCAAGCCCCAGTTAAAGGGCCCCATCGGGGGTGAACAGTGGCCTTTGATTACTTGGACTGCCAGGGCGAAACAGGTGCAAAACGCCGGCACCCTGTCTCTACAACTCTACTAGCATCTCTCGGTATTGTGAATATCACCGAACTTACCTTTCGTTGGTATCTTCATGAACTTATCTAAAAGACTGAGTTAAGCATTTGAAAAATCTATTGAAACCAGACATTATAGGCTGGGTAGTTCGCAAGTCTTTGTGGCTGTGTTTAATGTTTTGTATTTTTCTCAGAAGGTTGATAAAGTACCGTATTTTTCGCTCTATAAGACACACCTAGTTTTTAGAGGAGGAAAACAAGAAACAAGAAAGCAACGCAAAGCCTCCCTCTTTGCTCAAGAGGCTTTGTGTGGCAATCCCTGAAGCCAGGAGAGCAAGAGGGATCTTCTTGCTTCAGCGAGAGCTGCGCAGCCTCCATTCGCCCCATAAGATGCACACACATTTCCCCTTACTTTTTAGGAGGGGAAAAGTGCGTCTTATAGAGCGAAAAATACGGTATGTATAATTATTCTGTGTATATTAATCGCCAACGTGTTGCATGAGTTGTACTACTTGCACCAGCAGCACAGGTCGCATTTTTCTAGCATGAAGTGGAGCATGGCCAGCTTGGTCCAGCCACTCTTTCTCAGCCTAATCTACTTTGAGGGTGGCTGAGATGGCAGAACACAGTTGCAAAGTGGAGGTACCTGTTCGTGCTCTTCTGTGCCTCATTAGATGGAGAAAAAACATTGCACTGGGCTCTTACCTGGCTGCTCCTGTCCTTCAGGATCATCCCAGATTGTGGGACCCCTAAGTTGGGTGCGGCCAAGCGCAGCTCGCAGCTTCCAAAGTCAGGTGCAAATGCCCCCTCTGGGCCATTTTCTTCGTCAGCCATTGCTGCCCCAGCCAGCTGGAAACCTTGGAAGTGACACAACAACAGAGAGCAGGGGGGTCACTCTCCCAAGGGCGAGGGAGCCCATCTTGCGGGGGGGGGAGAGGGGGGCTGCATTGCAACCTGGGAGAGCGTTGCCTTGAAGGTGGCCCCCGATTTCAACTTCACGCAGGAACGCCTTTATCAACTCAGCCAAGAGTTGGCAACATGGTGCTTCCCTCCAGGCACATTTAGACAGGTGTTGACCTTACTGGAGCTTCTGTGTTGCAAGGAGAACGTCAGCAATGTCTAGGCAACACGATGACCATGTACATACGCGATAGACAATCTTTACAGACTTCCTTCAAACCATAAGAAGTAGTCAATGTGTGTAAATGAAAATATCAAATGCTGTGGAACAGTGCTCATGTAATAATGTAGTCAATAATGTGACTACATTATCACATAAGCACTGTTCCACAGCATTTACATACATTCATTCGAAATAAGATGGGTTTATGAAGCAATTCTATATCCACTCCACCACACTGACGAAGAATTCTACGAAACAGTAGTCAATATCCGGAATCACTGTTCAGTGTTGGACATCATATTTGTTGAATACACAAAGCTTCACAGCTTGTCTTTCATCATACAAAGTCTGGTACCTCGCTTCATTTAAAGATTTTCAGAGACTTTAAGACTAAAGATTTCATTTTGTACTTCTTATGGTTTGAAGGAATTCTATAAAGATTGTCTATTGTGTATGTACATGGTCATCGTGTTGCCTAGACATTGCTGACTCTTACTGGGGATTCAGCACCAAATGAAGGCTTTCTGTCAATTCAGACAAAACTTCCCACAGGGCTGAGCCCAGCCATGTCCAGCAGAAACTTGATAAAACAACAGAACTGTACTATATCAGAATTTATATCATTCCCCCCCCCCGGCCCACATTTGTTTTTATTTTCATTTCCTAATGCATGGAAAGGAATAACAACAGTAATAAAGAGTGAGAGAAATCATCCCAAGGAAGAAATTGGGGAGGGGGAGGAAAGAAAGGACGGGAATGAGGAGGGAGTTGGTAGCATTCCGAAAACAGCACTGCATATTATCCAATAATGTTTTTCCAGAGAACTCCACTGAGAAGAGGGCAGCTGCCAATGAGGTCCCTTTTATTTTTAGTACATTTGATAAACGGGTGCCAAGCATAATTTACAAAGTTGTCCTTCATTTTTGGGTGGTGTAAGATTCAGGGACGCGGGTGGCTCTGTGGGTTAAACCACAGAGCCTAGGACTTGCCGATCAGAAGGTCAGTGGCTCGAATCCCCACGACGGGGTGAGCTCCCATTGCCCGGTCCCTGCTCCTGCCAACCCAGCAGTTCGAAAGCACGTCAAAGTGCAAGTAGATAATAGGTACTGCTCCGGCGGGAAGGTAAACAGTGTTTCCGTGCGCAGCTCTGGTTCGCCAGAAGCGGCTTAGTCATGCTGGCCACTTGACCCGGAAGCTGCACGCCGGCTCCCTCGGCCAGTAAAGCAAGATGAGCGCCACAACCCCAGAGTCGTTCACGACTGGACCTAATGGCCAGGGGTCCCTTTACCTTTTTAAGGTTCAGATATATTTTGTTAACTTTTCCCATTAATGCAATGGTCCAGGTCTTGAAGTACCAATACTCTTGCAAGTTTCCTGGAGCTGACATCTTCCGTATCATTTATTGTATGTTCTTGTTCTACGTGCGGTTATTTAAAAAACAACAACAAGAAGAAGAACCTCCTCTTGTACATAGCTTTGGATTTTTTAAAAACACGAATTGATTAATGTGTTAGATGGTCACGATGGACGTGAGAGACCAGGGTCCAAATCTCTCTTCCCCCAACCCAGCCCCAATGGCCATGAAGTTCACTCGGTGTGACCTTGGGGGCCAATGACTGACTCTCAGCCTAAACTACCTTGCAGGGGTGTTCTGAGGATTTGAACGAGGAGTGGGGAGAACAATGTACTTTGCCACCTTCAGCTCCTTGAGAAAAAGGTGGGACATCAATGCAAGAAAGAAGGCGCTTTGAGGATTTGCAACTAAACGCCAGGAAGAACTCTCTGACAGTAAGAACAATTTGACAGTGAAATGGTCTCCCTCAGGAGGAGCTGGGCTCTCGAAGCAGAGGCGGGATGGCCATCGGTCATGGGTGCTTTGGCTGAGATTCCTGCATTGGGGGGCGGTTTTGGACTGGATGATCCTTAATGATAATAATAATAATAAATTTTATTTATACCCCCCCCTCCCCAGCCAAGACTGGGCTCAGGGCGGCTAACACCAGGTATAAAAACAACTGATTAAAATACAACTTAAAAGCAAGATTAAAATACAACATTAAAATGCAGCCTCATTTCAGTAGAAACTCAAATCAAAAACTTTTTGGGAGATGAAAACGTCAAGTCTTCACCAAGGCCAACTATCCAGACTGGTCCTAAATGGGCCAGAAAAAAGCCAGGGAAGTCCCCAAATAGGAGTTCCATCACAGAAGGAGAAAGGGAAAAGGAAAGAGGGGGAGGGGATCAAGTTGATTCCAAGCCAAAGGCCAGGCAGAACAACTCTGTCTCACAGACCCTGCAGAAAGAAATCAGATCCTGCTGGGCCCTGGTCTCATGAGGCAGAGTTTTCCACCAGGCCGGGGCCAGTGTTGAAAAGGCCCTGGCTCTGGTTGAGGCTAATCTGACTTCCTTAGGGCCCGGGACCTCGAGGGTGTTGCTATTTATGGACCTTAAGGTCCTCCATGGGGCATACCAGGAGAGGCGGTCCCGTAGGTACGAGGGTCCTAGGCCGTGAAGGGCTTTAAAGGTCAAAAGCAGCACCTTAAATCTGACCCTGTACTCCACCGGGAGCCAGTGCATCCTTTCCAATACTACAGTTCTATGATTCCATGCTCCCTAACATCTAGCCATATATAAAATTTATGAAATAAGAAAGAAGTAATAGTTATTTAAATAAACAAGCAAACACCAATTTGCTGGGGTGGGGGAATCCATCCTCTCATCTTCTTTTATCTTCTTTTGGGTGCCTCCTGACGCTTCAAAAACCAGTCAGTGTTATCCTCCTCCTTCTGGGGAGAAAGGCTACCACCAGGCAAGTATTTTAAATTTAAATATTAAGAAACCAAGCCCCAACCCCGGAACCTTTTGAAATGCCCACGCAGATCTGACCCAGACCCCTCACCTTCCACCTGGGGGTCATCCGCGGAGTTGTTGCTGGCTCCATCCGCCTGGCCATCGGCGTTCTGCAGGGCATGTTGGAGGCTCAGCTTGTGACAGACCTCGAAGGCCTGGCCCACTGTCCGAACCACCCGCATGGCCTGCGTCTGTGGGGAGAAAGAAGGCCCACCTTAGCACGAGGAGAGACGGGGGGAGTTAAAGGCAGCAGCAGTGGTGGGGAAGGAGGAGGTTCCGTCGCAAAGGGCCCCCCGCCCAAGCCAGCCCACCTTCTTCTTGGATTTGAAGACGTTGCACCGGAAAGAGTTGTTCGCGCCGTCCCTGGCGATGTAGCTGAATATCTTCAGGTCCTGGGAATCATGAGAGACGTAGAAGATCCTGAGGAGAGGAGAGGAGAGGAGAGGAGAGGGGAGGTCCGCAAAGTGAACCAGGAGGAAAAAGCGTCTCCAAAGTCCTGGGCACAGGGGAATGGTAACAGCATAGCTTGGGAGTTGCCTTAAGGTAAAGGGACCCCTGAACATTAGGTCCAGTCGTGGCCGACTCTGGGGTTGCGACGCTCATCTCGCTTTATTGGCCGAGGGAGCCGGCATACAGCTTCCGGGTGATGTGGCCAGCAGGACTAAGCCGCTTCTGGCGAACCAGAGCAGCACACGGAAACACCGTTTACCTTCCTGCCGGAGCGGCACCTATTGATCTACTTACACTTTAACGTCCTTTTGAACTGCTAGGTTGGCAGGAGCAGGGACCGAGCAACGGGAGCTCACCCCGTCGTGGGGATTCGAACCGGCGACCTTCTGATAGACAAGTCCGAGGCTGTGTGGTTTAACCCACTGCGCCACCTGCATCCCAAGGGAGTTGCCTTGCACTGTGCCAAACCCTTCCCTTGTTTCCCAGGAATGCTGGGCAGATTGTCCTTCAGATTTACTCCAATGAGGTGGAAGCAATTACCAGCTTAGGGGATTGAGCCACCTGGACCAAATTAGCAGCTTTGCCAATCTGGTAGTGCGGAGGACAGCTGTCAGGGACTGCCTGGGTGGGTCAGCAGGGGTACCCCAGGAATTTGCACCAGCACAGACAGAGAGGCCAGCTGGCACTGCAGAGACCAACTGGAACGGAGGCCGGGTTGGCACTCCCTATTGAGGAGAGCAGGACCAATATATGCCCAATGGGCAGTGGGGCAACTGAAGGGAGCTGAGCCACTAGTGGCCACCTTTTAGCCCACCAAAGGGCCAGGGGTCAATCTGGCTCCATTTCATCTCTGGGCAATGTGGAATAATAGGGCAGCTTTGCATATATGTTGTGTTTTTATTTATCACAGTTATTAAGGCACATGGCCACTCACTGCCACCAGTATATATGAAAGTCTGGTTCCTTTAAGAGTACACAGAACCATTCTCAAAAACAATGGAACTCACAGGTGGATAACATCATTTATTTTTATAAATCTTATTTGTTTGCAAAGGGAATATTTGAATGACTTGATGCTATATTACACCTTTGGAGCCGCGCTGGATCTTTGGGTGCATGCAGGGAGAATCCACAGCAACGTACCTGTATACGGGGTCGTGCATGACCTCCATCTTGCCCTCATCCCAGGCCCACTCCTTTCTCTGCAGACAGGAACAAAGAATTAGTATAGCCCTCTCCTTCTCCATGAATTTGCCTGGTGCCCTTTTAATGCAATCTAAGTCGGTGGCCATCTCTGCCTCCTGTGGACGTGAGTTCCGCAGTCTAACTATGTACTTTATTTTCCCTGTCCTGAATCTCTCAGCACTCAGCATCACTGGAGAACCCCATTAGTTTCTAGAATTAGTAGAGAGGGAAATGAAAGGTCCATCTACTTCTTCAACCTCATGCATGATTTGGTTTACTTATTTATTTGAAAAGTTTTTATTATTAAGCTAATTCAGCATTAATACACATTGCGAATATACAAGCATACAAACATACATTTCATACAATCCTTAAAAATGTTCAAACATACCTACACTCAGTCCCACAGATCACTCCTTTCCCCATCACCATCCACCACCCCTCACCCCACCTTTGTGTTAGACTTCCAATCTACTCAGTTGCAATTTCTTTCCACTTCTATTACTTTCTTTCACACACCTTCAACCTAATTTCATGCTTCTATTTCTATTACACATTGTTACCCATCTTATTTAGTATTTCAGTATTTAAAACGGAACTTGTTTATTCTAATAGGAGTTCTGATTTTTCGATATGGTTTTGCAAGTATCCTTTGAACACCTTCCAGTCCCTGTATATCTTCTCTTTTGAGATCCTTCCAATTTCTCCAATTGTTTTGGATATATTGTAATACTCCAATAATTTGGCAAGCCACTCTGTTTTTGCCGGTATAATACCACTTTTCCAATTTTCCGCAATCAATGATTTCCAACACTTTCACACTCTCCCCTCCCCTTCTTTCCAAACCAAGAAGTCTCAAATGTTGCTAAGGGAGTTTGCCCTCCACCCCCTTGATCATTTTTTGCAGGATGAGAGGGTGGGGGCCCTTTCCCTGCCCCCTCCCAGCTCTCCAGCATGACTCATTTAGGCCCCACTCCTCACCTTCTGCTTCTTGCGCAAGATCACTTTCACTCCATCCACTGAGATGATGATGTTGACCTTCTTCTTTTTGATGTTCTTGGCCTTAAATTCATACTGCGGGAAGGAAGAGGGCGGAGAGATGCATTAGGGCGGCCAGTTGCCGTCCAGCTTGGCCCCAAGGCTTTGCAGTGGGTGGGGGGAAAGGTCATGACAGCAGCCCAGTCACATGGCGAGTGGATAAAAATATCTATCCAATTTCCACCTCTAGATTTCATGCTGGTCAATTTGTAATGCAACCATTTGCACCCAAAGCCTCCTGCTGCATTGCCCACCCTTATTTTTGTTAATTGCAGACTGCAAAGCCCCCCCCCCTGTTGGGTTGAAATAAACGACAGACGAATGGCAAGTGTCATATGGGAGGCATCTCCCGAGCATGTCTCGAGGAGTCCCTTTTATTGAATATTGCAGCATTGCCACATATGTGCTTGTTGCTGATTGGTTAACACAAATACAATGCAAGGGTTGCATATAGACATTAATCATCAATAGATTAAAGGTTGGGAAAGGGAACACAGAATTGGACAGGCATGAAAACCTCCTTATTAAACTATAACTAGTGATTGATATAGCAAAACTTAAAGGAGCATATAAACTATTACTAGTGATTGATATAGCAAAACTTAACAGGGCATAACTATTGTATTCCGTAGATGTGGTCAACCATGCATTAAGAACAGGTCAGGGTACGATGTTTCACGGACTCAATGTGAACTGAACATTCTAGGATGGGTGAGGAAGGAATGCTTCAGCTTAGATGTTTGCCAGAGTCATGTGCAGAAGCAAAACTTCTCATCACCGCCCCCCTTCCTCTCTCTCTCAACTGTATGTGCTGGGCTTTTTTTTATCTGCAACTCAGGCCTGCAGTGGGAATGTTCAAAGACCACTTGCGGGGGGCTGTCAGACTGAAACGGCCCCAGATGTGGCTGCACCACTTAAATATTCATTAAAGCAGGTTTTGAACGAAGCAGCAGAACGGAGCAGTTTTTGTGTGTGTTGTAGCAAAGAAAACAGCCCTCCCCAAACCCCAAATAAAATCATTTGGAGAGAAAGTCAGACGAATGATGATGATAATAATAATAATTTATTATTTATACCCTGCCCATCTGGCTGGGTTTCTCCAGCCACTCTGGGTAGCTGGGTAGCTACAAAATATTAAAAATACAATAAAAACCAGACATTAAAAACAGGGCTGCCTTCAGATGTCTTCTGAAAGTCAGATAGCTGCTTATTTCCTTGACATCTGATGGAAGGGTGTTCCACAGGGTGGCGCCACTACCAAGAAGGCCCTCTGATTTCATCTTTTGATTTGAAGGGCACCGTCTTGGAATGCAAGTTGTGCTTACTCAATGGGGTGCAGATGTGTGAACTCTGCACATCCTCAGAGGCGCCTGCATTTGCTTCATGCACTCAGAGGCAAGGGTCCCAAGGTCAGTCTCAGCTGTGTTTTAAGCCTTCCTTGCTTGACCTTCCATCAGTAGCCTTTCTCCACCCTGCCCTGAAGTTTGCTCTCCACCTACTCAGTCAGAAGGATGGATTAGCCTAGCCTCCCACCACCCACAACCCTGGGTCCAGGGTTGAAGGCAGCAAGCAGGCAAGAACAGCCCCCGCCCCAGGCAACCACTTGGTCCCCGTTAAGCTGTGACCTCTTGATCAATCCATGAATTATTACACAGGGCAAGCTGTTTAGAAAGCTAAATTTAGCCACAAAGTGTGAACACACAGAGAGAGAGGGAGGGAGGGAGGGAGGGAGGGAGGGAGGGAGGAAGGAAGGAAGGAAGGAAGGAAGGAAGGAAGGAAGGAAGGAAGGAAGGAAGGAAAGAAAGAAAGAAATAATGCAGGCCAGCCAGCTGTGTTCTTGTTTACACAAAAAAGAGGGAACAGGGTATGATCCCTGCTGAAAGGACAGCAGCCGCTCTGCCAAAGCTCAGAAGCATTGCCACCGCAACCTCTGCCTGTGGCTAAGAACATGGATTCTCTCTCCCCTAACACACACACATACCGGATATGCACCTGTGGAACCAAAATCTTCCCTTTGCCCAAGGGCAGAGCCAGGTGCTGCCTGTTCCTTCGAACACACCCTTTCCCCCAGCCAGGAGGCCTTCTAGCGGTTTCAGACTACAACTCCCATCAGCCCTGGGCAAAGGCCCTCCTAAGAGATCTGTTTCCACTTTTGAACTGCTGGGGCTTTAGAGGCCCAGGCGTGGGCTGCTACAGCCCCATACCCCAGTAGGGCAGTGCAGCTGCGTGGAGAGCCCTTTCTGCTTCCTCAGGATGGCGGAGGCTGCCCCCTCGCGCTGTTGGAGCTGAGCACCTCTCCAAGGCATGAGAAGGGGAGCCATGCCAGGGAGGGGTGCCAGCTGGCTGCTGCCCTCTTCTGCCCTCAGCACTCACGCAGAGCCGCTCACTGCTTTGAAAATGGAACTGGAAGCCAAAGAATATTTGCACCCCAGGCGAGTGATGGGATTGGCTCCTCCTGAGACCTGTGCTTTGGCTCCTCTGCGCAGGTTCTGAACACACCTGTCTGTTCAGGGGAAGAGGCCAAAAGCCGCTGGATCTGATACCAGAGGGGCTCAATCGCTACTGTTGTTATTAATTATTAAAAGCAGGTTTGCTTCTTGGGAGAAAAGCAATGTCAAACCTAGACAGCATCTTAAAAAGCAGAGACATCACCTTGCTGACAAAGGTCCGTATAGTTAAAGCTATGGTTTTCCCAGTAGTGATGTATGGAAGTGAGAGCTGGACCATCAAGAAGGCTGATCGCCGAAGAATTGATGCTTTTGAATTATGGTGCTGGAGGAGACTCTTGAGAGTCCCATGGACTGCAAGAAGATCAAACCTCTCCATTCTGAAGGAAATCAGCCCTGAGTGCTCACTGGAAGGACAGATCCTGAAGCTGAGGCTCCAAGACTTTGGCCACCTCATGAGAAGAGAAGACTCCCTGGAAAAGACCCTGATGTTGGGAAAGATGGAGGGCACAAGGAGAAGGGGGAGACAGAGGATGAGATGGTTGGATAGTGTTCTCGAAGCTACTAACTGAGTTTGACCAAACTGCGGGAGGCAGCGGAAGACAAGGAGTGCCTGGTGTGCTCTGGTTCATGGGGTCACGAAGAGTTGGACACAACTAAACAACAACAAACCACTTGGATGTTTGAGCAAGACTGACAGCTGCAGCTCCTTCAGAGGTTGGGACCTGAACCAGTACAGTGGTACCTCGGGTTACAGACGCTTCAGGTTACAGACTCCGCTAACCCAGAAATAGTACCTCGGGTTAAGAACTTTACCTCAGGATGAGGAGGTGCCACTGCAGCAGGAGGCCCCATTAGCTAAAGTGGTACCTCAGGTTAAGAACAAACCTCCAGAATGAATTAAGTTCTTAACCCGAGGTACCACTGTAGATTCAAACGACAATAAGAGAGATGCCAGCTAATCTTTAGAAGAACTTTCTGACAGTAAGAGCTGCGTGACAGTGGGATGCGTTACCTCAAAAGGTGGTGGGCTTTCCTTTGGATGGGCATCTATCAGGGGTACTTCAGCCGAGATTCCTGCATTGAAGGGGGTTGGACTAGATGACCCCTGGAGATCCCTTCCAACTCTACCATTCTATGATTCCACGGCTGCCAGGCTAGGAATAATTGATGATGATGATGGTGATGGTGATGTGTGTGTGTGTGAAAATGACTCCCAGCATTTTGGAGCCTTAACTCCATATCGGGATAAATGGCGCATGACCAACAAAAATATTTGCACCATGTAAAGGACACAGGAAACCAGTCCAACTTACTTTTTCTTTAGCATACAAAACACAGTTGGCCCTGCCGGATTCTGCCTCCATTTGCACCGCCCTTCTGGTTCACATTTCCTTATGGGCCTGCATTCCAATGCACAACTCCCTTCACACAAAGAAGACAGAATCATGGAGTTGGGAGGGACCCCCAAAGGTCATCTAGCCCAACCCCGTGCGATGCAGGAGTGTTAAGAGACTCCTGGCAGCAACCCTGGTCCTGCCTCTGTTTAGAAAGGCCAGTAATAGCACCACCCTTCTCCCTCCGCCTAGCTTCCATCTCAGAGGACCAAAGCAGCCGCAGAAAGACCCCAACTCCACCCCCCACCCTGAGACAAGCACCGCCAAGCACCTGCCCAGGTGGAGATGCCCACTGGGCACATGGGCACCCGCCTCCTCCAGAACGGAAAGCTTAACTGGCAAAACATGTTTACTGAAGCTGCACAAAAAGCATTTTGGGCACCGTTAATCCCGTGCAGGTAAGATATGATCAGAGTCCTGAACTTTTATTGGTGTGGGGATGGAGAACATTCATGCAGTCATTTACTGCATTTCTATCTCATATTCCCCCCGCCCCCCCATGGAGCTCAAGTGCATAGGTTCTCCTCCCCCCCCCCCATTTTATCCTCAAAACAACCACCCTGTGAGGTAGAGCTTACGCAGAGAGTCAGTGATTGGCGCAAGGTCACCCAGTGAACTCTATGGCCAAGAAGGATTTGAACCCTGGTCTCCCGGGTCTCAGTCCAACAATTAACCACTACACCACCACCGACTTCCCTGTTATGAGCCTCTGAGAGATCTGACCAAAATTTCTCATTTTTCCAACAGCAACTAGCCAGATGCCTCTGAGAAGGCCAGAAGGAGGGCTCAGGATCTCTGCTGTCCCCAACCGGCAATATTCAGAGGTAGACTTTGTGTTAACATGGAAGCTTCATTTAGGTGCCCTGACCACTAGCCCCCAAATAGCCACCACTTCTCCATGAATTTATATAATCCTTTTCAACAGCCTCCTAAGCCACTGCCCCTCACCATATTTTGTGTCAGTGAATTCCAAAAGTTAGCTTCGTGAAGAAATCATTTTTTAAAAAACCTTTTAATCTCCCCCCCCTTTTGTTCTTGTTTTTATTATGTATTTTGTGTTTTTATCTTGTATTTTTATGCCGCTAACTGCCCTGAGATCTACGGATGAAGGGTGGTATACAAATTTAATAAATAAATGCATGCATAAAATATTATCTGCGCTGAATTTACCTGGGACTCAGATATACCGCTGCAAATATAAGATTCTGAATGTGTTGCAAAGTGCAATATACAATTGTGACACTAGATGACGACTGTGAGCTATAGCAGATTCAATGCATTTTTCAAAACAATTTTTTTAAAAAAAGCATTTTCACATGTGTCAGAGCTGCTTCCAGATCCTAGCTCACAGAGGATCACGCTAGCCAGCGGTCACTTGTAAAAGTCTTTTATTGAGTTACAGTTTCCATTCTCAAGCTGCTGCGTGCAACTCTACGTCTTATGGCTAGACCGGCGAAGCTCCGTCTGAGTCTCCGCCCCCTGTACACCAACTTAATATCCTAGCCCTGTCCCACCTTTTCCGCCTGACTGTTCTTCTCTGGGTCCCTCTGCCCCCCGTGGTCTCTTCCTTCCTGGACTCTTCTGACGCTGACCCCCCGGACCCTCCTGTCTCCTTGCGCCGGGCTTTAGGACCTGGCTCCCTTTCCGGGCTGCCTACTGCGCCACCTTCCTGTGCATTTGAACTTGGCGCGCGCGCCCAACCTTCCACCTTCCGTCTAACCGTTTCTTCGCTCCCCGATGGAGGTGTGGCCACTCCTGACTCCTGCCCTCCCCCCTGTTGTGAGCTGCCAGCGCTTGATCCCTGGCGCCCTTCCTCTTCCCTACTCTCTGGCGGTGACGCTGGTCCCGATTTCCAGCTGCTCTCCTCTGAGTCCCCTCTGGCTCTATCTTCCTGGGGTCTCCCCCTAGTCTCCCCCCTTTACTAAGTGGTTTAAATATTTTGCAACGAAGCAAAACAAAGAGTCAGGTGGCGACTTGCTATTATAGATCCAGAGTACCGGTACATGGCTGGATACAACATTTGAACCTGAATGAGTTTTATCTGAAGTGAGACAAGACAACAGGATGGCTGTTCCTGCAGGAACAACAAGGCCTCGCAGTAGTGGATATCAGTATGTACCAAATCAGTACCAAATGAAGTATGATGCGGTGGGAGCCAGCCAGCCATGCGCTTGCGTCTTAATATATGCCAGAAAACACCCTCAACATGGCAGCGGAGTCCATCGGCACATGAAACATGTGCATTTGGTGAAATGTGCATTTCATTTGCTGATCTCCCCGCCAATCCCACCCTGAGCTAAAATAGGTTGCCAGAAGGTGAACACCTCCCCTGTACACACTTCTTAGGGCTGCGCATGATTTCACAAGCATCAGTCATGTCCCACTTGCAGAATGAAATGCGCTTGCAGAAGAGCGTGATGGATGGAGCCTCATCAGAATTATTTGGCGGGGGGAGGGGGGAGTTTAATGAGCACAGGCCTCCCTTTGGCAGTCAAGAGGCGTTTCTGCAGAGGCACTGCAGACACAAGGAGAATCCCTAATGCTGCCGTCTTGTGTGGGCAGAGAAGGCGCCAAGCGCATCCTGGATACTAAATAATGCATCTCCACACACACACACACACACCCGACCTCCCTCTCCTCTTCATTGCAAAGGAGCTATTTCGGGCTGCATGGATTTCCAAGCCAGAGAGAGGTGGGGAGAGATTCATTCACTTAGCATGGGAAAAGAACAAAAATCCCTTGAGCCAGTCTTCACAGAAAGGACTCCCCGAAGAGAAGCAGAGGTGGAAGGCAGGACGTTTGGAGGAGGAAAGAGAAGCGTGGGGCCGGGGGCCGGAATGCATGGCCCCACCATGAAGCAAGCTGAAGCAGCCTGCTTTAAGGTAGTAGGGCTTGGAGGGTGCGGGGGGGGGGGCAGATGTCTGGACAGCGCAGCTAGGCTTTTCCCAGGGGGTGGTCCCCACAAGGGTTGGAATGCTGGTTTGGAAGAATCTTTGGCTGCTCACCCCTTCTTGGAAGCAGAGGAGCGCGGAGCCAGGCCAGCCTCCCGAAAAGAGCTTCTTTGCGAGCGGAGGATGGTGTTGCTCTTGAGTAAAAAGCCTCCGTTTTCCGGCTCCCACGCTCACCTCCTGGCGCCAGGATGCCGTGTTTGAATCGCTCTCTGTGCTGGCACAAGCCGGGGCCCAGATGGCATAATGACACAGACCGTTCCTGAAGCAGCCAGCGCACCCCACGCCCCTGGTGCACGAACGCACAGCCTGCCCCCATCCCAGGACTTGGCCACCTCCCCGGGGGGGGTGCATTTCGTGACTGGCCACGCCTGTGTTCATCTGTCAGTACAGCACTGGCTCCGGCTCAGAAGGGGAGCACAGGCAACATCAGAACAGGGGCAGTTTAAAAAAACCAAACCAGCAGGCCAAGGAGTCAAAATCACAGTGTTGGGAGGGACCCTAAGGGTCATCTAGTCCAACCCCCTGAAATCCAGGAATCTCAGCTAAAGAATCCCTGACAGATGGCCATCCAACCTCTGATTAAAAACCTCCAAGGAAAAAGAGCCCGCAACCTCCCGTGGGAGACCGTTCCACTGTCAAACAGCTCTTACTGTCAGAAAGTTCTTCCTGATGTTTAGTCAGAATCTCCTTTTTTGTACCTTGAAGCCATGAGTTCGAGTCCTACCCTCCGCAGCAGGAGAAAACAAGCTTGCTCCATCTTCCATGGGACAGACCTTGAGATATTTGAAGCTGGTTATCATATCTTCTCTCAGTCTCTTCTTTTCTAGGCTAGACATTCCCAGTTCCCTCAGCCCTTCCTCCTAAGGCTTACTTTTCAGGCCCTTGGTCACCCTCCTCTGCACACCTTTCAGCTTGCCAATGATATAATAATATGAATTAGCAAAGGCCAGCTGGTATTATTTTCAGCAGCCTGCTGAGGTTCCCACCATTTCCTTCCAGGCAGCAGATAAAGGGCAGGTAGGAAATAAAATAAAAATTGAGGCGGTTTGGAGACAGCGGCCTTTTAATGGAAAGTTATAGGTTGCTGGGCAGATACAAAGGAACATCATGCTCAGCCACACACAGCACTCTTCCAGGAGATCTCCTCCAAAAACACCCACACAGGAGTGGTGACATTCGAAAGTGCCCCAAGAGAGGAGGATCTGCGTATTCTGCTTGGGTGCTGTCAATGTTGCCCTGCAGGGCAAGACAAGGCAGATTTTGGCTAAACATCAGCAGAGACTTCGTTATGGTAGGAGGTGTTCACCACTGCAACAACCTGCTTCCTTTGCCGGAGGTACTTAGGCAGAGGCCAGGCAGCTTTCTGCCAGGGATGCTTACGTTCCTGCATTCCCTGCCCTGCCCTAAGCAGGGGCTGGAGAAGATGGTCTCTAAGGTTCTTCCTGACTCTATGATTCCATCACTGCATTGACCAGACACTGCACAAAGCCAATCTTCATGCGCTGACCGCATCCACAGTGCTTTTTTGCACTGTGTGCACAGTGGTTAACACCTGCCACCCAAGAATCTTGGTGTGATCCTACACATAATTATATTGGATCCACAATGCTTTGTCAGAACACTGTATTGTTGCTGGCACCTGCTAAGGCCATTTTCATTTAGGCAACCGTACCCAGACATGTAGAGATGCGGGTGGTGCTGTGGTCTAAACCACAGAGTCTAGGACTTGCCAATCAGAAGGTCGGCGGTTCGAATCCCTGTGACGGGGTGAGCTCCCGTTGCTCTGTCCCTGCTCCTGCCAACCTAGCAGTTCGAAAGCACGTCAAAGTGCAAGTGGATAAATAGGTACCGCTCCGGCGGGAAGGGAAACGGCGTTTCCGTGCTCAGGTTCGCCAGAAGCGGCTTAGTCCTGCTGGCCACATGACTCGGAAACTGTACGCCAGCTCCCTTGGCCAATAAAGCGAGATGAGCGCCGCAACCCCAGAGTCGGCCACGACTGGACCTAATGGTCAGGGGTCCCTTTACCTTTACCCAGACTTGTAGAATGTTGGTGTATGTTTTAATCAATAATAATAATAATAATAATAATAATAATAATAATTTATTATTTATACCCCGCCCATCTGGCTGGGCTTCCCCAGCCACTCTGGGCGGCTTCCAAAAAAATATTAAAATACATCAAACATTAAAAGCTTCCCTAAACAGGGCTGCCCTCAGATGTCTTCTAAAAGCCTGGTAGTTGTTGTTTTTAATTTATTGCCAATACTACTTTTTTTGAACGTTTTAAATAAGCGTTGGCTGTTTTTAATGATAATTGCTTTAATCTTTTTTTGGTTTTTTGGTGGTGTTGTTTTTTTACAACCAAGTGGTGTATAAATTTTAGGAAATAAGTAAAATCAATAAGCATGGCTCTTGTGCTTGGGTCCTGCGTACAGGATTCCAACAGGCATCTGTTCAACAAAATGCTGCAGTAGGAGGGCCACTGGCTTGATCCAGAAGGGCTCGTATTATATCTTTTACTCTTTAAAATTAAAATTAAAAATTAAAGATATGGCTTATCTGCGCCCCCTCCCCTCCCCACGGACAGCCATGTCCCCAAAGCAGCCATGTCTCCAAATGAGGTCTATCCATCATGTTTAGTTTAGCTCCTTGACCCCTCCTTGGCTAACCCAAATCAGCATTCACACAAGCTTGCAGAGACTGCGCCAGCAGCAGGCACGCCCCCCCACCCCACCCACACGGCTCTTGGGAATCCAGTTCCAGCAATTCTGAGCATGGCATTAAAAGGTCACCATTGCTTAGAGATTACATGTTTTGCAGGCTGATCCATCAGCCCATCTGCTATCAATCATCCCTGGAACGTGATCTCATAACTGCGGCATTTTCTTCTCAGCTAACAGAGTGACCATCACTCTGACAGGAGGAGATGGCCATGGCGATGGCGGCCACCATATATTGGAGCGACCCCAAGGGGATACATCGCGATTTTAGCTTTCTATTCTATTCTACTATTGCTAATAAAAAAGGCCTCTTTTTTTTGCCCTTGCAGAGATAAGGATGGAAATGGAGAGGGGCTAAGCAACGCTTGCGGCAGGCCAGGGGTGAGGACTCCTCATTCTGCATGATGAAATGTAGAATTATGTAAAATGCATGCAAATCTTCATGATTTGCATAATCATGAACTGAGCTCAGGTTATCCTGGCACATAATAATAATTATTTTTAAAGAGCCCTGCCTATGCAAAGCCCTCTCTCCACTGCAAAGTAGAATACCCAGATAGTCCAAAGATAACTTGCATATAGTCCTCATCCTTCCGTACGTGTCTTCCTTACAGTCCTGCCAGGTGGGTCGCTGACGGAGTGCAGATAGAGAGACGGGGTTTTCTCCCTCTCCCGTTGTTCTGGAACTCAGGGCAGTCTCTCAAAGCCAATTGGGTGCAGTGCCTATGGAACTCACTGCTGCAGAGTGAGGCATCCCTCCACATTTAGAGGAAATAGGCTACTGATCTCCAGGCACTGAGAAAGAGCCTATGCCTTCAGACTCTGTTGCCGTCAGGTCCTAATTTGGGGGGCGGGGGGTGGTGGTTCCTATTGTGGCATTTGGTGAGTACGGAATATTGTGCTAGAGGTTTAATCTCAATCTCCTTGCTTGAAATTTGAATCCACTGGTTTGGGTGCTACCTCCCAGAGCAGGAGAAAACAAGCTGGCTCCATCACCCCCTGTGTTAAACCACTCTGGGAACTGTAGTTCTAGGAGGGGAACAGGGGTGGCTCTCCTAACACCTCTCAGCACCTACAACTCAACTACAGAAAACAGCCACTTCTTGAAAGATAACCTATAAAGTAGAAGCAAGCTCTTCTTATGCTCTTTGTTGGCATCAATCTGTCTCAAGAGACAATGGAGCGTGCTGCTGAAGCACCGAAGAGGCTCTTAAACATTTTGAAACCTGACGCCTTATTTTTTTTGGGGGGGGGGTGTTGCTCCTGGCTTGCAGGGCTGCTGCTGCAATACTGCAAAAAGGTGCCCAATGCAATCAGCATGTGAAGCTGCCTGTGAATTAGGCCTGCAGTTGTATTATTGCAGTGCAACTCCCAGGCCCGCCTTACCCATAGGGGCTAGTGGCGCAGGGCGCCAAGTTCTGGAGGGCGCCAGGCGAGAGTCTGGGGAACACCGAACGAGCTGCCCGTCTCCTCCAGCCCTAAAAAAAGGCTGAAACTCTGGGAAAGGGTGTGTGTGCGCGCCAAAGGGATCTTTGCACCACAGCGCCAGATATGCTTATGACAGCCCTGGCATCTCCTGACCATTCCCCCAAAGGGACAGAATCCCAGTAGGGTTTTTTAGGGGGGAACAAAATATGAATTCTCCACCGACTTCGCATTATAGCATCGTGCAAATCCACATTTAGAGAGGGTGTCACTGGGAGAGCCTTGTGTGGTTTCCAACAGAAAGCCTGCGGCAAAACCAGTCCCCCCAGGGTGGGGGGTGGGAGGTGCACACATGCACAGCTGGCATGCTCTTGCATGCAACTTTCGACTGGCTCTGGAGCTGACTTACCCATAGAATAATGACCCTTCTGGGGAAAAGTCACGCCTGCCTCTCTATTAACAATTAAGGTGTAGGAGAGGAGAACAGATTAATTTTGAGGCAGCAGAGCAAGGAGGCCAAAGGACGGTATCTCTGCTCTTTTCGTCCTTGCTCAAGAGCAAAAACCTGTGCTGTGGCTAAAGCAGACTTGGAGGCAAACAGTATTTACCTTAATTTTCTAGTCATTGAGTGGGGGAGATGGGAGATTTTTCAGGGCACTGAATCCACCCCCTTGGTTATGCTAAACCTTTCTCAGCTTCTCTTCAACTGGCTTCAGATTTTTTTATGCATAATAATAATAATAATAATAATAATTTATTATTTATACCCCGCCCATCTGGCTGGGTCTCCCCAGCCACCCTGGGTGGCTTCCAACAAAGTATTAAAATACATGGTCTGTTAAACATTAAAAGCTTCCCTATAAAATGCTTATTCTCACCTATGAGGGCTAGGAACTTGCTTAGTGTGTGTTATGGAGCCAGTTTCCCGTGGCTGAGATCTGCGGTTCATAGCTGCTCCCGAAGGATCAGTTTGGCCCACTGCCTGTACTGAATCCATGACTTTCAGAGCTTTCAACCTCCTCTTCAGGACTGCAGCTTGTCTTTACAGGGTTGGCAACCAATAGCACCAGGAGCCCCACCAGCCTGGGAATGTCACCCAGAAGACGAAAGAGGAGGGGTGGTGGTCAGCTGCAATGGTAACCAAAACTGCTGGGCTTAGCAGGGCAGGACCTTTGTTTGCTACAGAAGCACACCCTTCTCCAAAGGAGTTACTGAGCAGGGACGCATTCAGGGTTACAGCACTAAGTTGCTAGGACCAAAAAAAGTGTCAAATCACAGAGCTGTGGAGCTGGAAGGGACCCCAGGGGTCATCTAGTCCAACCCTCTGAAACGCAGGAATCACAAGCTAAA